TGTTCCGCATTGTCAACAACGCTACAGGGTAAATAATCGTTTAGCTTTTATTTGAACTAATAGTTGCGATGTAGAACACCATTGGCCTATAAGGATCACAAAGAAGGGTGGTTCGTTCTCACTGTAAATGCAGCTTCAATACAAGAGTTTATGATTAATGCGAAAGGCACCATTACCAATGTAGAAACGACCTGGAATATGGACGTATTGGATAATATCCACAGTGCAGGAACTCTAGTGGGATTGTATATTGAAAATAATAGTACGGCTCAACTATTCACGTTGCAGTAAATATATTCTTGTATGACATGAGCGATGATAAATCGTGGTTATTATTAGTTATTATTATTGCTATTCTATTGTAAAACAAGTATTGTTACACGATTGCAATAAAAGTTTAAAGCTATTTGTTCTTCTGATTTTTTACACCCTTCGGATGTTTACACCAGACAAAAATCAAGGTTTGTGTAAAGTTTGTACTTGCGTTTATTTTGAATTATTTATTGGCTGAGTACTTTTCATATTTTGTCTTCTATGACAAACACCGTCCATTATGTTTATCCACAAAAAGTATTGCCTGTAGAACTGCGCAATTACTAAACCAGCCTGAAAAAAGCAGCTAAATTTCGATTATTTTGATTTATATTATATGTACCTTCATAAATAAAATTTGTCATCAGAGGCTATTTTTAAAAAAGTTTCTACATGGGCGTCAATATTACAGATTTTTTTTGGCTTGCAGCCATCGCTCTGCCTCTTGAGAAATGCTTTGAGTTTGGGATATTTGTCCAAATGTACGTCATGTTTTACAGACAATGTGGTTTTTAGCATTGAAGAGGGCTTAAAATTTCTGGACTTGATTTTAAAATAAGTTAAACTGAATGCTTTGAAATCTTGCAGTTGTTTTAAATTTATGGCAAGCATACTAATTTTTTAATAAAAATATATTTGCTTATCTCCTCCAAAACATTGATGACGTCATCTCAAAATGTTGCCGGATAAATACTATCTAAAATATGCAAAATATGATCAGTCCATACTTGTGATTTATCACTACATTCACATTTTTTAGATTTGCTTAAACAGGGTGACCTAAAAAATGAATGACTGAGTTGTTAAAAAATCATCCAATCAGATTCAGGAATTTAAATCGTTACTATGGAAATTTGCACTTTAACACCATTTCAATTTACCAAGTTTTTACAAGTTTAATAGCGCCAAAATCAATCTATCACCCCCTATTTTCTCAGAGGATATGCCCTTTACCAGAATCAGTCAGCAAGTACTAGCCCCACCCACCCGCCCCTATTTTCTCAGGGCTATGTCATTTGCCAAAATAAAACTTATCTTAGCAAGTACTTCCCTCTAAGAAAATAAGGGGCGTGTGGGTGGGGTTACTACTTGGTTAAATAAGACTGATTTTGGCAGATAACACACCTTCTAAGAAAGTAAAGGGTCGGTGGGCGGGGCTAGTATTTGATAAGATAAGACTTATTTCGGCAAATGACATACCCAAAATAAGTTTTACCTTAGCAAGTACTAGGCCCGCGCACCCGCCCTCTATTTTCTCAGAGGGTATATCATTTGCCAAAATCGTTCTTATCTTATCAAGTACTAGCCCCGCCCACCCGCCCTCTATTTTCTCAGAGGGTACAGCATTTGCCAAAATCGTTCTTATCTTACAAAGTATTAGCCCCGCCCACCCACCCTTTCCTTTTTTAGAAGCTATATCATTTGCCAAAATCATTCTTATCTTATCAAGTACTAGCCCCGCCCACCCACCCTTTACTTTCTTAGAGGATACATCATTTGCCAGAATCATACTTATCTTATCAAGTACTAGCCTTGCCCACCTGCCCTCTATTTTCTCAGAGGGTATGATGTTCGCCAAAATCAGTCTTACCTGAGCAAATAATACCCTTTGAGAAAACAAAAGGCAGGTGGGTGGGGCTAGTACTTGTTAACATTTCTATTTTCTCATAGGGTATATCATCTGCCAAAATCGTTCTTATCTTACAAAGTATTAGCCCCGCCCACCCACCCTTTCCTTTCTTAGAAGATATATTATTTGGCAAAATCATTCTTATCTTATCAAGTACTAACCCCACCCACCCGCCCTCTATTTTCTCATAGGGTATATCATCTGCCAAAATCGTTCTTATCTTCCTCGTTTTAAAATTATAGCTCTTCTAATATCTGTGTTAATAATTCACTGTAATCATAAATGACACAAAAAGATAATTATCCGGGGATGCTCGAGAAGAATTCGATGGCATGGGAAAGGTGGACACGTGATAGATTTTCCTAAAGGAGAAGGATTTTGGAATTATTGGAGATAAGGTGGAAATGCGATAAGAAATCGCATCTTCGTACTTGACATTTTTACATGATTTTTGATAAGAGTGGAATTTTTTCCCGGTGAAAGTTGCAGGATTATTTGAATTTTTACATAATTTGATTTCGTTTGATTCTCCCGCCATGAGATCGGCTGCGTTCGGTTAAATCCGAACTTGTCGCTTTAAATTTTAAATTGAAGTATATTTTTCAGGTTAAACTTGAGGTTGTAGACCCAAATGAAATAAAAAAAATACAATCTTGCAATTAACGTCACAAAAAATTGTTATCTTTGATTAACTTTGATAGCATTGCTAGATTTTTATATTAAAATTAAAGTGACAATACTAGTTCGATTTTTGATAAATGTTGTTTTCGTTTGTAGTACATGATATGTTTCCAAAAGGCAGCACAAATCGTTAGTTATTGTTTATTAAAAATTTATTTATTTGTATTTTTTGTGTTCATTTTAAGATCTCTTTTGTCGTATATGCGTATATATTTTGTACACATATTAAAACAAATAGGCAAAATGGAAGCCCGCTCACCAGCCCTATCTCTAGTGTGATGATTTTTTTTATTCGCGTTAACCATAACAGCGTTAACTGTAAAATGCTTATTTCTTTACAACAAATTGAAAAGATATTTTTAAGTATCGTGTTGTTCAAAGAATACTATATATGTTAAGAGAAACAGGCAAATTATAAGCCCCGCCCATTCGCCCTATCTCAATTCGGATGATTTTTTTATCCGTTGTAAGCCGAGGGGCGGAGCTTAATTGTAAAATCCTTATTTTTCGACGAGAAATTACATGGTAATTTTTTGTAAAGAAATAATAAGAATTTTACAATTAAATTCCGTTCCTTTGGCTCTCGATGATTAACAAAAATCATCAGAATTGAGATAGGGCGGGTGGGCGGAGCTTATATTTTGCCTTTTTTCTTAATATGTTTTAAGTTACATGTTGTGAAAAGAAGTCTACACATATTAAAACAAAAAGGGAAAATGTAAGCCCGCCCACCCGCCCTATCTCAATTCTGATGATTTTTTTATTCGTCGTAAGCCGAGGGCGGAGCTTAATTGTAAAATCCTTATTTTTCTACGAGAAATTACATAGTAATTTTTTGTGAAGAAATAATAAGGATTTTGCTATTAAATTCTGGTTCTTTGGCTCTTGATGATAAAAAAATCATCAGAATTGAGACAGGGTGGGTGGGCGGGGCTTATATTTTGTCTTTTTTCTTAATATGTTTTAAGTTTCATGTTGTGAAAATAAGTCTACACATGTTAAAACAAAAAGGCAAAATGTAAGCCCGCCCACCCGCCCTATCTCAAGTGTGATGATTTCTTTTATTCGCCGTGAACCAAGAGGGCGGAGCTTAACTGTAAAATAGTTATTTCTCTGCAAGAAATTGGAAAGGTATTTTTAAGTATCGTGTTGTTCAAAGAATACTACGTATGTTAAGAAAAAAAGATTAAATATAAGCCCCGCCCACCCGCCCTATCTCGATTCGGATGATTTTTTTATTCGTTGTAAGCCAAAGGACGGAGTTTAATTGTAAAATCCTTATATTTCTACGAGAAATTACATGGTACTTTCTTGTACAGACATAAGGATTCTGCAGTGAAACTTCGCCCTCTTGGCCCACGACGAATAAAAAAAATCATCACAATTGCGGCAGGGTGGGTGGGCGGGGCTTATATTTTGCCTTTTTCTTGATATACGTAGTCGTCTTTTCAGAATAAGAAATTTAAAACATATTTAAGAGAGACATAGTAATTTTGCAGTTAATTTCCGTCTCAGTATGTCTATTTTTAATTTTGTTATCGTCTCACCATTTTGTGAATTTTTTCAACTCGTCTTCATACCGAGTGCGAGATTTCGCAAGAAGCAACACCGACAATGCTCTCCAACGTATTTTTCTGCATAATCATTCATTTTACCGCGAATTCACTTTATCGGCACCAGTTTCAAAGTTTTCATACAATTTTTTCGGAATTATTATTGATTGCTATGGTAACGGAGAAGGTAGTGGCAACATATTTTCGTTACAACACAATTTCACTAGTTTTTTTATTAATGAAAATAGTAATGGTATTTAATATTTTTTTATAAAAAGCAACACAAAAAATGTTGTATATATCTCGCGCCGAAATGGCTTTGCATCCCTCGCGCGTCTCATTTTCGGCGCTTGATATATAAATAACTATTACGTACACTAAATACATATTTATAATTACGTCGATACCAAGATCTTACAGATTCTTCGTTTTCGTGTTAACACTTTATTCCAATCTAGTACTAGCGGATTGTACTTCGGAAGATTATTTATACTATTATATTAAAAGAGTTGTTTCTGGTTAAGTACTCTCCACTGCTGATCTGAACGATAGATCAATCGTTACAACGGTCAGAAATTACGTTTCGAAGTTTATTCCACATTATCAAAGATTTTGCTGGGTATAAAGACTTAATTTTCTAAAGAAATTAAAATAGCTGATAATTTACAATAAACAAACTGAGTGTTAATTATCTAAATAATGGATTACAGTTTTTTTAGATAGTGCCAAATATTTAATAACTGATAAAAACAGATTTCGGTAAAATTTTCCCATCAAATTCGTGCTACTGGGTGTATATATATATATATTTAGCCACACCGTACACATACATTCAGTAAACTTCCTCCAGTACACAGCAATCAACCATAATGGGCTACGTTACGGATAAAAGGTATCTGAATTTTGAATAACATGTCGAACTTCTAAAATGCGTTGTTAGATATTTTATTTAAATTAATTATCATCATTATTATAACAAAGTAGTTTTAGTTTTTATTTTCAACCTCCGAACTGTACAAGTAAACATCATTTTCTTTTTGATGACAGTAATAATGTCTAACAAAAAATATCAACAACTAGATTTTGTGCTGTGACGTGCAGTTTGTCATATTTTCAAAACATATTTACAGGTATTCGTTGATTCTTCTAATTGTTGCGTGCACGATCTCTGTTAGTGCCGCATGTGACTGCACCAAAGAAGATGAACTATACTCTATAAGAGGTATATCGTCAGGTTTGGTACTAGACGCTTCCATACCAGATCAGATCCAGATACAACATTACACAGGACTTCCTGAACAACTTTGGAGGTTTGAGCGGGGTAGCCATGCTGGTTTGTTCCGCATTGTCAACAACGCTACAGGGTAAATAAACGTTTAGTTTTTATTTGAACTAATAGTTGCGACGTAGAACACCATTGTCCTATAAGGATTACGCTGAAGATTATTACATGCTAACTGTAAATGAAGCTTCAAAACAAGAGTTTATGATTAACGCGAAAGGTACCATTACCAATGTAGAAACGACCTGGAATATGGACGTATTCAATGATAAACACAATGCAGGAACTCGAGTGGGATTGTACCCTGAAAATGGTGGTACGGCTCAACAATTCATCTTGCAGGAAAAGTATTCTTATACAACATGAGCTATTATTAATGATGGTTATTATTAGTTATTATTACTATATTACTATTGTATTATAAAACAAGTATTGTCACTCAGTTGCAATAAAATGTTTCAAGCTATTTTTCGATATGATTTTTAACACGTTCCTGGTGTTTACACCAGACAAATATCAATGTTTGTGTAAAGTTTGATGTTGCTGAAAGAATTAAGTCTTGTTTTTAATGTAATGCAATGGACGCAATCACCCTGTATACATTATTTGTTATAATTTTTCCAGGATATCGTAAAACTCATTTTCTCTTTTTTACACCACCGGTACTTTGGGTTATGCTGTGAGAAACAAGAATAACAAAACGCTATCTCATTTTAGTTATGTTTTGGTGCAGGCAACAGTTTGTGGGTATAGTCAGGATCACGAAGCAATGCGTACACGTCACGGACTCTGTATGACGTCATGCGTCTACCACGTTTATTATACAAATGAATCGGTTTGAAAACTGTCAACAAACATGTCGGCTTGTTATTGTTTTGGTTTGTTCTATTTATGATTATAGCATGAGAAGACCGTTAGTGTGAAGCAACAGTTTAGAAATAAGCTACACTTGCAGTGTTTCAGCATACAAGGGCATGCTGCAGGCTGCATAGACGCTATGAATTACAAACTCAGGCACAGGAAAGATCACAATTGTAACCCCTTTCACGTGTTCCTAGTCACTGAAGCCTGCCACTCACGTTCCAACGCCGCGGTACAATTGTGTAGGATATGACAAAATTGAAGTGTTTTCGAACATCTGTGTATGCGATCAAGCAAATCGGTTGGATGTGGACGGTTGGTGAACAAGTCTGTCTGCAGCAGTACAATCGTGTTGTATTGGTTGGAAACTTAATCGTGTGGGGACAGTGTATGTTATACAAACCGTGAAAGCAGGTATAAAAGTCCATTTTCTTCGGACATGTTGCCACCACGATCGCAAATTTTTAACTGCAAGGTCGTAACGTGTGTGTACTGCTGCTTTTCAGCAAAATTGTACAGCAGTTGTATCCAATACAATCGTACCCCGGCGTTGGAACGTGAATGACTGGCTTTAAGAACGTTCATTTTTGCATTGACTGCTGGTAAAAACTGCTGACAATTGGGTGTTAAACACATACTTGGAGGGTGGTACAAGGCTTCATACTGTACTTAAAGCTACCAACGAGAATGTTAACATACGTCTCAAACAGACAGCATTGAACAGTTGTGACAGGCTTCAAGTTAGAGAAATATGCTTACCGTCTTCAATGCCACAATAGGCACGTCACATCTACAGAATAAGTTACTTTATTGACATGGAATAGATACAAAAGTAAAGTATAAACAATAATAAGTATGCATGTTGCACAACGTCGTCGTCTGACCAGTGATTTGTATATTTGGCCAGTGAAGTGATAGTGTGATTATAAAAGACATCAGCAGAACATGCCGCTAGTACAATCAATTAGGATGGTAATGGAAAATAACCTACATGTTACAGTGGCTGAATGCCCTCTGCAGTATTAGAATCTTCACTGTCATAATCACTAAAACTATAATGTGAATCTTCGTTAATGTCGATTATAAACGGCGCAATCTCTTCACGGTCAAATACTAATTCCCGTTCCCACCACTCCCGTATTATTTTATTCATATGGTCAACAGTATTTTTCCACATTGTGGGCGTGACATGTGCTAACGCTTCTTTCCACATTTCCACGGAATTTTTTGACCATAACCATCACGCCCAATGTGTTTGGAATAAAAATTTGTAGTAATTCCCCAAGTATTTTCTATAGGGTTAAACACACAATGATATGGCGGCAATCGCAATACTCTATGGCCATTCTGTTGGCCCAATTCACGGCAACATACGTTTTTGGAGGTTTATTTCTGAAAAACATGATATTTTAAATGAAACGATAGAGAATAGTATATGCATTACTGTGCAACCAAATGAAGAAGTTCCGTTTTTAACAGCTGTGAATCTGAACTTATGTCATGTTGTTAAAGCCATTCACGAATTTCTGCTTTTTTCCATGAACCACTGGGACATTTGTTTGCAAAGGTACTGTGGTAGCTTGCATTGTCTATAATAATCTGTGGTGGTTCTTCAAGGTTCATGAGCAATTGAAACCACTTGAGAAAATTCTGTTGATTCATTTCGCCATGATAGTCTGGATTTTTGGTATTAGAAGAAAATACTAGCGCTGCTTCATCAATAAATCCATTGCTTGTACCTGCATGTAATACAATATACCTAAAATATAGTGAGAAGAATAAATAACTAACGTGAAACTGACACATTACTAAATTTTCCCTTCTATTTTGAACATCCTGATACTTATGACACTATCGTCTTGCAATGACCTAACTACCGAACCATTTTCAAATATCCATGTTTCATCAAGATATACACATGGCAAAGAATTTGGGTTCTGCTGATTGTGCATGTATTCACGTAAGAATTTGGTTCTTGCATGAACAACATGTTGTAATTCCATAAGACGCTTCCGTACACTGGTTGGCGAATAACGAAACCCAATTGAGAATGTAAAATTTTTCTTAACGAGCTCACAGAACCCTCAAATATATGTTTCTCCTTCAAGCAATCAATTAATGGCGATCGTGTAACATGTATTTCTGTAAAATAGTCGTTAGTATCTATAAGGCGTGCGCATCAAATTCATACTTTCTTCGACCATTCCATATAAGCATTCTTGAATAGCACACTGCTCCGAAGTGCTAATATCACACACTTGCTTTGTTCGGGGGTCTCTATTTTTTGGGAGAATGTACACCTTCTCCGGTTTTTATTTTTTGTACCACGGAGTTCACTGTTCGCACACATACACCCACAGCAGCAGCAACCCTCTGTACAATGTGACTGCATTAGTAATTGTAATAAAATACACCTACTTACGTCTTGAACAGCTGTTAGTGGTAAAAGAGGTTCCCCGCTATCGCGTTCTTTAGCAAAATAGTCCACTAAATTATCGTCCATTTGCTTTACATCTTTGTGCAAGGGCTTCGGCATGGTGGAATGTTTACGTTGAAGCAAGCGACACGTACCACGGTACAGGACAGTTAACTTGGAGTTCTATAAAGAACTGTTATAGTTCTGAAAAGAACTGATACGATTACACGAGCAGAAAAGTAGAAAAACGCGAAAAATCAAACAATAACACAACATAACCAAAGTTGACACCAATGACACTTGTGAAATCGATAAAACTTTAGCATATGTTTCGCTATCAGTCGTACCAATATAATTTCCCCCAAATTGATCGATTTTGATCCGTATTGCCACGTATTGCGGCGCGTATTTTTGATTTAGTGTTGGTAACGGATCTACGTCATCCATGACGTGTACGCATTGCTTCGTGATCCTGAGTATAGTTTACAGCACCTCTAATTATTACCCATTGTGAAAGTGCACAGGGCCGGATTTGTGAAACTGAAATTTTTCAGAAAAAAGCTTTTCTGCATTACGTCTTTTTAAATTGTTGGTGTTCAAATAATTCATACAATTTAACAGATTATTTGAAACTGTAATGTGAGAAAATATAAGTAGTAATAACAAACTAAGTTTAGATGGCTGAACCATGTATAAACAAAAAAAGAAAATTTTGTAAAAAACGAGTGTCTAACATGATAAAGAAAATTAAACTGCAAAATATTTAACATAAAATTGTGTTTAAATTCTACGAGGAAGAGGCGAATATGAAAGTCTGTACCTGCCATTAGCTATTGCTATTATAATAAAAGGGATAATCCCCTGCCGAGTTCTCCGCCCTGACCAGGCTTTTTACTGACAAATACACGGCGTCGTTACGAAACTAATGAAAGAATAAATATCTTTTTGAACGAGTACTGAATCATTTCTCAAATATCTTCAAATCCGACCTTGCACTTTAGCAGGTATGTCAACAAACCCGATTCCCTTTGGGGTACGGGGAAGGTACTGAAAAACTACCCGCAAAGTTAAGTTCCAGACCAAAATACAAAAAAGACAAAATTCATATATTCACAACTTTACATCGCTGAAAATTTTACACAGATCTCCGACCCTTCTGCTGTGGTCATCCACTCTCAAATGACATATTTATGACATTAATTTTCTTACCTACCTATCTATCGGCATTATGCAAGTACCTATGAAATGTACGTCATATTGTGGATAAGATATCCACTATCCACAATCACAGATCAAAATATAACCTCACAGGAAACAAACACGATTTTACTATAAAAATACATCTAATCAAATAATTGAATTAATAACTTCAAGTATTTAACAGACCCTATTTTGAGATGTGAAAACTTCGTAAAATAGAGACTAAAGTATTTGAAATTTCCACTTTCATACTTCAAGTAATTCAAGGATATTTAAAATACTGAGTGAACTACTTGGAGTAAAGTACTTGGCAAAATCAAGTACTAAACTCAAGTACATTTTAGAAATACTCCAAGTACCAAGTACCAAGTACCTAAATATAACAGTACTTCAAGTAAAGTACTTGAAATACTTAAAGTACTTGAAGTATTACTTCAAGTACTTTTACTTGAAGTACTGAACAGCTCTGGCAACATTTTTTTTATCAAATTCTTGGTACCGGGTATATACAGGTACAAGTAGGTTTATACATTCTGCCACATCGTACACATACATTCAGTAAACATCCTCTACTACACAGCAATCACCAGTCAACCACAAAACTCTGCTATTAATTATTACAGTCGCATTCAACAAATCTATTATTGTGCTATTACTTGTTGTTAATAGCTACACGGAATTATAGCAGCCTTGCCTGAGTGCTGGCCATTTGCGAAAAAATCTTCGAACAAACCTCTGCCCGGTCGCTTCTTTAATAATATTATTAATAATAATAATAATAATAAATTTTTTTGATTGTACTGGTGTCATAATTAAATGATACGCATTTTCCCCCTCTATTTCTGTATTTTTTTTTAGTTTGTTTTGTCGCAAAAATGAACATTATCATTGAAAGTTTTACATAAATTTGACGTCAATAAATTTTTCAGTACGTGTTGTTTTTTTAGCTGTGGAAATTTTTTAGTGAAGGACCATGTGCAAATTATGTGATGTATAAATCGTTCCTTTTTTCAGTTTTCGACGAAATAACGCTTAAACAAAAAGATATGCTTGATGAGATACTTTTATAGACAGAAGGTAATTAACAAACAAAAATCAATTAATTTTGACGAGTAGAAATACAGAAATCAATAAAAAAATATTCTTAACTGAAATGTTAGCAATTACAGTTCCACACTTCGCTAAACTAGTTCCAACTATACAGCAGCAATGACTTCTGTAAAACAAATACTGTATGTTCAGGTACACTAAATATTGTTATGAAAGAAGCCCATACGGCGTTCCGGTACGACGCCTATGGGTTCTAGTACGTACGGCAATGATGACTCATTGTCGGTGACGGCGGCCGGAGAAAAGCGTGGAAGGGGAAGTCGCGATTGAGAAACATAGCTTTAAATAGCGGCCACCTTCGGGAACGATCATTCTTCAGCCAGTTCAGTCAAGTTGCGCCGGATTTATTTTGTACATAATCGCTGCGAAGTCAGTTGTGTAAATTGGAGTTATTGAGAAATAAATTGTTGAGTATCACCCACGCCGATTTTCATCACCCGTTCAACGTAACAAGATTCTTCAAACTACCTTTGTAGCAAGAAATTAAGTTATTAATTGTTTAATTAATAAAAAAAAATAAATTTAGGACCTATCTTCTAATCCTCAGATACTTAAAAGTAAAACAATTTTTATTTTAAATTAATAACTGATGGATTACTGAATGACACATAGGCCTAATATTTATTAATCTATGCAAAATAATGATAAGAAAGCATAAAATAACTCATCAAGTTTCGACACAGACACAATACAATGCAAAACAATATGATATAATCATTTTAATTTATCAATGAAAATTAAACCTAAGTGATATCGTCAAAATAGAAAAGTAGAAAGATACTATCTTTAATTAAGTTAGGTGATTTTTTATAACATTGATAATTATGACAGATTTTTCCAGTAAAATAAACACAATACAAATTAAATCTACACGATTATTTTATTAATGAAATGCAGTTTTTGTGTGTAACTCTTTCATAAAACGTCTTCCAATGTTTTTTAACTCGACTACGTCTAGACCAAGTAACCTAAAAACACAAAACGTGAGAAAAGAGAATCAGATTATAATTTAGTTTCATCAAATCATCACTTTGTTTTATTTACATGATGTAGACAACCAGTTTTACATTCACGGATAACAGCTAATCTTTTCGCGTAGATAATCCCGTTTATTTCTTCTCATCTGTGCCAGTTATTAATTGCTACTTCCCTAGCGTACGCTAAGGAAGTATTGTAATTGAATCCATCGGGCGTCTGGCTACTTTCATGTTTTCTCGACGTTTACCTTTCTGCCGTCTCCACAAATCGCAAAGCGAAGTTTTATAATATTTCAAAAGAGCGTTATGGACTTCACGGACGAGGAAAATTTGGTCGACATAACCTTCGACCACTTTTTGTCATTTTTTTTCTTCACCCCCCCCCCCCCCCTCCCAAGCTGAGCTTCTAGTGACAAACCATTGGTATCGTGATAATATATTGATAATATCATGAAATACGTAAAAGATACATATCTTAGGATTGGGACCGGTACTGATCATTACTTGGAATAAAAACACTTACGAAAATAATTAACACAATACTTAACTAATCAAATAATATGATAAAATTATTAACGATTAGATGTATACGTCAAGATTTTATTATTTTGCAGCTGCACAATGAAATATCGATTTTATCTAAATAGGACTGTTTTGAAAACAATTTTTAATGAAGGAACCTCAGAAATCAAGAGATCTCGTTCATCGTGCAATTTATTTTAAAAATAATGATGCTGGCAACACCAAGGAATTCCTTGTTTAGTTAGACTGTTACGGTCAAGAACTGCCCAATAAAGAATCAAATAGCTGCAATGCCAACATCAAGAGTTTTTTCTTTCGATCATATATATGTTAAAGCTAATATCCAAAATACGTTATTATGCATAATAACTAGATATTTTAGGAATTATAACTAAAACTTGTCAGTTATTATGCATAATAACCGGAAACATTAGGAATTATGCATAATACCTGAAACATTAGTCATTAAGCATATTGCCTAATAGGCCAGGGCCGATAATTTTTGAGAACAAAATAATTTAGAACAGGATGATACCCATTGTAAAAGGAAGAAAATATAACAAAAATAAAAGAAAAAATAATTTACGGGCGACCTGAGGTCGGGAAGTGGAAGAGGGTGAGCTTTTAAGGGTAAAAAACGGTTTATCACGATTTCCGGCAAAACTACAAGTCCTATCGAAAAAAGTTAAATAGCAAAGTTCTAGGTAATAAAAGGATCTACAACTTTTGTATTTAGACTTTTTTTACATAACCTCAAAATTTATACGAAAAATTCAAATAACCGAGTCCATTTTGTTGTACGTACCTTTCAATAACACCCTGTATACATACTAACAAAAATTACGGTATATGTAATATTAAAATTGAAACACGAAGCATGCAGCTTCAATAGAAGAGTTTATGGTTAATACGAAAGGTACAATTACCAATGTTGAAATATCCTGGAATATGGACGTATTGGATAATATCCACAGTGCAGGAACTTTAGTGAGATTGTATTGTTACGAAATAAACCCATAACCGCCCCTCATTTTCTCTTTTTTCCATTACCGGTACTTTGGGTTATGCTGTGAGAAACAAGAATAACAAAACGCTATCTCATTTTAACTTAAGCGGATGTACGAGAGAGAAAACACATCGGAGTGAAACCCGAAATTTGACACAGGTTCTCAAACAGTTACGTTTTGTTGCAGGCAAAATGCAAAATCGAATAAACAGTTTCCACCGTACAGTTGCACAATCTTAATGCGTTTTCCCATTAGTAAGGTATTCTGAAAATTAAACATAACACCTTAAAATTTACATTTCATCTGTTTCATTAAACATCTCCTTTTCAAGTTCAACAAAACAGTACTTCTTGTTTGAGAACTTCTGCTTTGCACGCACCTTGCGGTAGGTCTTTAGGACCGCCCCTAAAATGCTAGGCAATACGTATTATCTTAACCGCAATGAGAAAAAGTGAGACAAAAATAGTAACGTTTGAGAATTATTATTTGTTACGGTTTTACAAGACTATGGAATTCTTATAACAAATAGACTTTAGTTGCGTTTATTTTGAACTGTTTATTAACTGATTACTTTTCATATTTTATCTTCTATAACAGACACACTTTATTCTGTTTATCCACAAAAATTATTTCTTGTAAAATAAAGTCTTGGTTTGAATGATACCGTCCTCCCTCAGTTGATACGGTACTTTATATAGTTTACATTTTTTAATAACAGAAGCGTACTAGATTCTTCACCATAGTAGTTATAGGAGGCCAATATAGTTCTAGATGGCAACTATTAGTACAAATAAAAAGTAAACAACCTGTAGGGTTGTTAACAGATCAAAACACCACGCCCAAATCTGCAGTTAGTACAGTCACATTCGACAATTCAAACTAGTACTTGTTGTTAGTACCTACACGTAATGATAGAAGCCTTGCCTGATTGCTGGCCATTTGCGAAATAGCCTTCGAACAATTTTTTTACTTTGTACCGGTGTCACCATAATTAAATGATACTCATTTTTGCCTTATTTGTGTATATTTCTTTTACAAATTTGTTTTGTCACAAAAACCAACATTATCATTGAAAGATTTACATAAATTTAACAGCAATAAGTTTTTCAGTATGTGTCGCTTTTCTAGTCTGTGGATAGTCTATTTATAATTTCATCCAAAAATAATTTTTCTTGTAGAAAAAATTCTTGTTGTGGAAGTTGACCATCGTGCCACAGTCCTAGACGAGCTCCGGAAGTATAGTTTCCATCAGTTATATCCAAATTCTGAACAACCGCAGCATTAACGATCTTCGTGTTTGAATTTATAATCCACTCCTGTTGTTTCAATGCATCATTCCTTGGGTTACCAAAAACGTCGCAGTGATCGCCGACACAATTTGCAATATCTAACACAACCCTGTGAACAATTTTCATTATAGAACAAATTATTTTTTTTTACTAAGTACCCTGTGGCGTTATTAATTATATGGTAATAATTAGGTTCGCTTCCTCGTTCGAACTTCCATAACTGCTCTTCACCGCCAGTGTAAACATGTATTGTGATGTACGGAAGCTCACTAGCAGAAACAACTAACCCAGATGGTACGCTTCTAATGACAAACAATCGGTTTTCAGCGTTGCAGTCTCCAAATATTGATACTAAATTTGTGTAAAATAATAAGATGGAGAAATATATGCGGCTAGAAATTATTTATTACTTATTTACTTGACGTGAAGGGTGTACTTACATCACTGGTTGCCTGTTGTGAAAGATCATTGTGTTTCGGTGGATTTTCTACTACAAATGACTTGTTTGGAAATGGCTTTCTAATATACTCTCAGTACGACCATTTTATATCACCAAACCAAAGATAATCAGTATAATGCTCCTACGTCTTAAACTCAAACGGAAATATGTTTTCTTTGTTCAATTCTTTACGCAATAAACTATGGCAAGAAAGATAAGCATGATATAGATCTTTTTCTTGTCAGAAATTAATTAACTATTGTTTTTTCAGTGAGAATAAAAACAAAAACCAATTAAAAAAGATCTGATATTTTTTTATCCATGTTTTTAAGTCTTATCTAAAATGTTATATATTCGGTGTTGTAGAAGATCATTGTGTTTCAATGGATTTTCTACTACAAATGACTTGTTTGGAAATGGGTTTCTAACATATTCTCAATACGACCATTTTATATCATCAAACCAAAGATAAACTAGTATAATGCTCCTACATCTTAAACTCACACGAAAATATTTTTTCTTTGTTAAATTTTTTACGCAATAAACCATTTGCTAAAAAGATAAGCATGATATAGATCTTTTTCTTAACAGAAATTAATTAACTATTGTTTTTTTAATGAAAATAAAAACAAAAACCAATTAAAAAAGATTTGATATTTTTTTATCCTTATTCTTGATTGTTATCTAAAATGTTATAAACTCGTTTCCAAACTTCGCTAAACCAGTTCCACTTAAGCCGCAGAAATGATTTCTGAAAAACAAATACTGTAAGTATGTTTAAGTACACTAAATATAATTACTCAACAAATGCCAAAATGTTACAGTGTCTTAGTTTTCGTGCTAGTATTTAATTCAAAGCATCTACTAGTACAAGGGGATTGTACTGTGGAAGATAATCTATACGCAATCGTAAGCAATGCTTGTGGATTAGTAGTTGCTAGTTTTGATCCTTCATTTCCGTCAGACACTGTAGTGCATACACGTGGTGAAACTGATGGCCAGGGATGGAAAATCGAACGCCTAGGACACCCTGGTTTGTTTCACATTATCAACAACTTTACTGGGTACAAAAACTCCATTTAAAAAAATAAATAAAGTAAGTGTAATTATCTTTCAGGCTAGCACTGGATATTGAAAACTGTACCGCAGATTTCTGCAATGTTAAATGTCATGATCTAGACGAAAATTCAATGTCTCAGCAATGGTTTATTGGTACAAATTCGAAAATAACGAATGCCATGAGATTTCAGAATTTAGACATTACATATTCTGATTACAAGCCTGGAGCTCCCTTAGGCGTGTGGAAAGATGGAGACTACCCAAACCAAGAATTTACATTGGAGCTAATCGAGTCAGTGGACAGATTTAGATCACAAATTAAATATAGAAAAACTGTTGTGTGATATTTTTATTCTAATTGTTCCCAAAATGTACACACTAATATATTTTCATTATAGTTTATTTGCTGCATAAATTATTATCAGAAGTTTTTTTTCCATAGTGAACTCCCGCGCTGGGGTTAGATTATTCGGCAAAACTTGTACGTAATTTCCGGCTGTATAATTCGCATCTGTTACATCTATGGTGCAATTGTTCTCTATATACTCGTATGTAGGTAAAAAGGATGCGGTGGCAGAGATTTGCTAAAAAAATAGTACATAAATCTAAGTATTGAATTTTGCATAATGTTACGAAATAAACCCACACGCCGCTCCCGTACGACGCCTATGGGTTTTAGTACATACGGCGGCGATGACTTATTGTCCGTGACGGCGGCCGGAGAACAGCCTGGAAGCGTATGTCGCGACGGGTGTTCGAGAATAAGCCTAGAAACGGTGACGAAGACCTTCGAGAAATGGGAACCACCGTTGGGAGCAGTTAGTGTAGTCCAGACAGCGAGAGCTGGATTCAGTCAATTCAGTCTACGAGGGTACAGTGAAGTTGCGCCAGAATTATTTTACACATAATCGCTCTGTAACAAGTCGTGTAAATTCGAGCTATTGAGAAATAAATTCTTGAGTTTTACCCACGCCGATTTTAAATCACCCGTACAACGTAACAATAAGTTACCCGAAAAAAAACCGTATGCACCTGTAGGTAGAATGGAAATGTCAACCCTGTTTTTATTTATATACTTATTTAATTCCAAATTTGTTTACTAATAATTTGTAGAAGAAGGATAGATTTCTTTATATTTTTTAACTAGCCGACCCCGTGAACTTCGTTTCACCTACAATTTAATTTTGAATCTGCAAAACCGAATGCTTTGAAATCTTGCAGATATTTTAACCATATGATAAGCATAATAAATTTTTATTCAAAATATATTTACTTATCCCCTCCAAAAAATTGATGACGTCAGCCCAAAATTTTGACAAATGAATCCTATTTAAAATGTCCAAAATAGGATGAGACTATACTTGTGATTTATCATTCCATTCATATTTTTTAGTTTTGCTTATAGGGGGTGTCTCAAAAAAATTAATCACTGAGTCAATTTATCTTATTGATTGAATCAAGAATTGCAAAACTGAATTTTCGAAATATTGCAGATTGTAGACGTTTTGAAGTTACTGTTTAACATGGTAGGTTTTTAATCAAAATATATCTGTTTATCAAGCCCAAAAACTTGATGACGTCATCTCAAGATTTTGCCGAATAAATCCTATCAAAATGTGCAAAATATCATCAGTATATTTTCGTAATTTATCACTGTATTCATATTTTTTAGATTTGCTTTTACAGTGACTCAAAAAATATATGGATCAGTCAATTTATTTTAGTGAATAACTCAAGAGTTACAGAAATGAATACTTTGAGATCTTGCAGACGTTTTAAAGTTATTGTAAGCATGGTAAATTGTCAAGAAGATTTATTTATTCCCCCCAAAAAATTGATGGAATGGCTCACTCGCCACGTTTCGTTAAAATTCACTCTTCCAACGATCCTACTCGTTTTCTGAGCTGCTTTACAGACAGCTCAGTTATTTGCCACGCCGATGCTCATTTTTAGATTAAATGCTCACATAACGCGTAGATGTTCAATTTGTGTCCGGAGAGATACAATGTTTCCAAGTAGGTACTCAGTACATAGAGTAGATGCTCAGGTATATAAGAGTAATAATGAAGTAGGTACTTCGTACTTCGAATATGAGTATCTACTTAGTTTTATTCATACCACCCAATGTCTCGCTTCAATGTTTGATTATGTTGATTATGAGCACAACGCTGATCAACTCCCATATCCGAATTATCCATGAAATAAATCATTGCAGATTGACTTCGTGGACCCATGTCAGCTTGTCGTGTTCTCGGAATTGTAATGAACTTCATAAAACGACACAGAATTATTTTCACAGTCAATCAAATCTGTAAATTTTGTCTTGAGAATTTTAAAATATTGAAAACTTCAAATTAAATCCTCGAATAACGGTAAAGTTTGAGGTTTTGTCGAAACCAACAAAGTGAATATAGGTAAATAGAATGGCAGATCAAAAATAATAAGAAACTTTCGCAATGTGTAACTAAATTCACTTTAACCAAGACTTTTCTTAAAATAAACGACGTTTTTTTTTACGAAAAAACAAAAAACGATTTGAAATGCAATATACTTTTTCGCCTCCTGACATGTAAACAAAACATTCATACACCTTTGACAGGCCGCGTAACAATGACTTTACGCACCAAATACCAATTTACCGTTGCTTTACCGCCTTTGGGTGCCAAAGTAATTCAATATGCATTAGCCTCTAGAAGCTCTAATAAAAAAATTTCTGTATAAATAATAAAAGGAAACATACTAGAATACTACTTTACATCATGTTTTGTTCGATCAAAACTTTTGAATTAGAAAAATGAATTATTAAAAAAAAATCACATGGCGCCATCTCGTGGCTGCCGGTATTATAGATTCCTTCAGTAAACGTCAAGTCTATAAACTGTCACTTAATTATTTCCATTTCGAAAAATATTTTTAAAAACAAATATTTTTTAAAATAAAATCAATGTCAGCGAAAAAATTGAACACAATTTTCGTGCGTTAGACATTTTGCAGGTTTCGCTCCCATGCCACCCTCCGCTTCGCGTCGGGTGGCAAATTAGGACCTCAACCTGCAAAATGTTACCTACTGCAGTCATAATGTAAATAACTATTTCACAATCGCACGGAAGAATTAGTTTTGTATGACACGTCAGTTAGACGACAGGTCGTCAGGAACGCCAACTATTGAACTTAATTCGAAGTGGCGATCCCCATACAAAATTTTTAGACTTTTTTTAGACTTTTTCCGTCAATTTTTTAAATTTATCTCTCCGTAAGAACCATCCTCGTACTTCAACGAATATTTGAAAACAAAAATTAGCCGAATCGGTTGAGTCGTTCTCGAGTTATGCGCTTAGCAACACATTTGGCGATCCATTTTTATTATATAGATTAAAAAATGTGACCATTATTCTTTTTCATTTAGTAAAATAGCGACGTGTTTTATAAAATTAACGTACCTTTTATGTGTAAAGTACCCCATTATGATTGATTGTTGTGTAGTGGACGAAGTTTACTGAATGGTTTTATATGGCGTGGGAAATGTTTATATACACACTATGGCAAAATTTGATAAGAATCGAGTTACTTAAGTTCTTACTACAAGCGCGATTTCAAAACTATGAATCCTGTAAAGAACCATAAATCTATCAGAGAGTATTAAATAATAATTAACAACTTAAGCTTCATATTAATTTAATATTAGAACGCCTTCACGTCTACATGTTTCACAACATAGTACCTTGAGCAAGTGTGTTGTTAATAATAATTATTATTATGGAATGTAAACAATTAGAAGAATTCGAATTCATTGTAGGTGTTCATGGCTAAGCTATCCAATTCAGGGAAATTAGCTTTTTTTCTAGTAGTAATTTATAAAGTTTTTCTTAGTTATTTATTATACAATCTAGGAAAATTTATCTCAATTTCTAAACATGGCTGGTGGTCATTTTCATTCAGTAATATTTTACTTTACGTTAGAATTTGAGTTAACCGCTGATAATAGAAGAGTCACAATACAGGTTAACTCTATAAAATTACTTTATTAATAATAATTGAGTGTTTTCAAATTTCAACAACAAAATACTAATACAAAAATAATGACTAACAATTTATGGTTCATGTTTTGCAAAGAATAATTTTTCATGCAAGATGAACTGTTGGGCCAAATTAGACTTTTCGGAGTGCAGTCCTACCGGACTTCCTGCGGCTGTGTAGTTGTGATGTATATCAATATTCCACAACGTTTCTACATTGGTGATGGTACCTTTTGCGTTAATGTAAAATTCTTGCTCTGAAGATGTATCTACGGTAAGGATGTACCACTCTTCAATCTCATGGTTATAGTCCACTGGAGTTCTAGGGTGTAAGTATTAGTGCAAATCAAAAATTGAAATTAATTGCCCTGTAACGTTGTTGACAACAGGCTCCGAAGCATCTAGTACCAAACTTGACGATATACTCCTTATCACGTAGAGTTCGTCTTGTTTGGTGCAATCGCTTTCGGTATTAACAGTGTTCATATAAATAATGACTACGTTCAAGGGATGCTTGCAAAAGTATTTTAAAGTGTGGTGAAATACAAATCGCATTGGCAACTATCGTAGCTGACATAAAAAATAATACCCCTGTGTACGAAATGCATCATTGAGTAATTCATTATTTAACACGAAATTTGTTTGTTTTTAAACTACACGTATGTGTTTCGCTATGCAATATCTTCATCAGGCAATTGCTCCGAAATATTGTTAAGTTAAGTTGTGTTAAATCCAGTTACCTGAAAGATACTTTTGTTGACTCTTAGAAGAACGCTGCTATACCTGTATGTTTTGCTTAACAGTGCTTTCATAAAGCAACTGTGTTGTTAATTATTATTTTACATGTAAAAACAAATATATATCTCTCTCTCATCGAGTAAATTTCAAACAAAACTGATATGTTGATTTAAATAAACTAAACAAAGTACAGCATTACACATCTTGAAATGATGTGTAAAGATTGGACAAAGCTTGATATATTTATTAAAAGAATAGGAATTACATAAATAAGATCTTATTTTGCGTAAAATAAGAATACTACAAGTAAAATATTTATTGTGAAATAAACTCTTAGGTTCATATATTAAAAAATATTTTCAGAACAGTGATATTCAGATAAATTAGGTGTTCTATTGTGTGGTTGTTTGACTGATGATTTAGTAACGTTTATGCCAAATATTCGGTATAAGATCTGACGTATATTTTGGCATATGTGTATTAAGTATTTAATAAGTTAATAACACTATCCCAAGACTTCAGAATTTTTAATTAAATTACTCAGAATATGATAACATAACTTTGTGTATAAAAACAAATATAGGGTTACGACTGGATCTTATTTTATCTCATAAACAATCTAATATTAAAAGATCAAGTAAAATATTACTTAGTGGAAATGACCACCATCCATGTTTAGGATTTTGAGATAAATTTTCCTAGATAAAAATAAAAAGGAAAAAAAAACTTTTAACAACTTACTGCTAGAAAAAAGCTAATTTTTCTCAATTGGATAGCTTAGTCATGACCACTTATATTATATTAAATTAAAAAAACAATCTGTTTTAAAGACACATTTGTAATATCAAGAAAGGAAATGAGATTTCAAAATTAATGACTTATGCTAACGGAATGTTTTTAAAAGTGTTTCCAATTGCAGTGTCATAACTTTTACTTTAATACACGTGATATTTATATTTAAACTAGTTGTTTTTGCTGTGGCTCAGTATTTACGCTCTCTATCGGATGTCTACGCAACCTGGATGTCAAACGATGTTAGAGAGTTGGTAGACAGTTGTATCGATAAATTAACTCACACCGCCATCAATTAGGAATTCATAGAAGTACCCAATAATTACGTATAATACACATTTAATTTGCAATAAAATTTAAATAAAAACTATCCTATCTTTTCATGTAGATCAAATTCTAGATAGTACAAAATTTATATTTTATATGAAAGATACTTTTGTTGACTCTTAAAAAAACACTGATACACCTACATATGTCTTTTTTTCACTAAATAGTGCTTTCATAAAGCAACTGTGTTGTTAATTATTATTATAGATGTAAACACAAGTAAATATCTTTCTCATCGATTAAATTAAAATTGATTTGTTGACTCAAATAACCTGCACAGAAATACACCATTACACATTTTGAAATGATATGTAAAAATTGGACAAAGCTTCTATGTATTTATTAAAAGAATAGAAATTATATAAATAATATTTTTTTCTTAGGTTCATATATTAAAAGATATTTTTAAAACAATCATATTCTGATAAATTACGTGTTTCATTGTGTAGTTGTTTGACTGATGATTTAGAGGTTTACACAAAAAGTAGGAGTATTCGGTACAATATATAAAGCATATCTTGACATATGTATTAAGTATTTAATAAGGTAATAATATTATCCCAAGAGTTCAGATTTTTTTTACTAAATTACTCAGGATATGATAACATAACTTTGTGACTAATACCTATGTACAATAACAAATAGAGGATTACGTCTGGGCTTTATATTTTATCTCATAAAAAATGTGATTTTAAAAGATCAAGTGAAATATTACTTAATGAAAATTATCACCAACTATCTATGTTTAGAAATTGAGATAAATTTTCCTAGATTGTATAATAAAAAAAACTTTATAACTTCCTACTACTACAAAAAAAAAACATTTTCCTGAATACGATAGCTTATTAACGGGCCAATTTCAAGTTGGATTTACAATTTCACAAGTCTTCGTTGCCATGGAAGATGCGATGACTGCAGTCGCGAGGACGAATCAAATCGCTAATCGCAACAACTGTCATCGAAATTACCATAGCAACGGCACTTGCCATTTCGCAAATCCAACTTGAAATTACCCCCAAGTGCCGTTGCTATGGTAATTTCGATGACAGTTGTTGCGATTCGCGATATGATTCGTCCTCGCGACTGCTGTCATCGCAGCTTCCACGGCAACGGGGACTTGCGAAGTTGTAAATCCTACTTGAAATTGGCCCGTTAGTCATGAACACCTATATTGAGTAAAAATCTCTTTATATGTCCGTATTTCGCCTCATATTTATTACAGAAAGATGAACGTAAATTGTCAATTATTATTTAATACTCCTTGATAAATTTATGGTTGTTTACAGGATTCATAATTTTGAAATCGCCTTTGTAGTAAGAACTTAAGTAACTCGGTCGATTAATTAATTAGAAAAAAGTAATGATAAGAAGGCAATAGCTTTAAGTAAGATTTTCTTATCCAATTTTGCTACCGTATGTAACTATATAAATATTTCCCACGACAGATACAAACATTCAGTAAACTTACCACTACACAGCAATCAACCATAATGGGCTACGTTACGGAAAAAAGGTATCTGAATTTTGTATAACATGTCGAACCTCTGAAATACGTTGTTAGATATTTTGCTTAAATTAATTAAAACTATTATCATTATTATTATAACAGAGTAATTAAAAACAGTAAAACGGGTGTGAAATTATTTTGACGAGGCGTGCACAAGTTAAACAAATTATTGGAGAGTACTAAAGATATTTCGTGAACGATTTACACACAAATCAATCGCAATTCTAACACAGAAAAGCTAATTAAAAATACTGTACACATTATCAATTACTTTTAGTTTTCATTTTAAACCTTCGAACTGTACAAGTAAACATAATTTTTTTCGTTGATGACAGTAGTAATGTTTAACAAAAAATATCAACAACTAGAGTTTGTGCTGTGACTTGCAGTTTGTCATATTTTCAAAACATATTTACAGTTATTCGTTGATTCTCCTAATTGTTATGTGCACGAGCACTGTTAGTGCCGCATGTGACTGCAGCAAAGAAGATGAACTATACTCAATAAGAGGTATAGCGTCAGGATTGGTACTAGACGCTTCCAAACCAGATCAGATCCAGATACAACGTTACACAGGAGTTCCAGCACAACTATGGAGGTTTGAACGGGGTACCCATGCTGGATTGTTCCGCATTGTCAACCACGCTACAGGGTAAATAAAGGCATAGTTTTTTTTTTTTTTTGAACTAATAGTTGCGACGTAGAACAGCATTGTCCTATAAGGATTACAAAGACGGTTGGTACATTCTCACTGTAAAGAAAGCTTCAAAACAAGAGTTTATGATTAATATAAACAATACCATCACCAATGTGGAAACGACCTGGAATATGGACGTTTTGGACAATAAGCTCCGTCCAGGAACTCTAGTGGGATTGTACGTTACAAATGGTAATAGGGCACAACTATTCAAGTTGCAGGAAAAATATACTTATACAACATGAGCGGTTATAAATGATGGTTATTATTAGTTATTATTATCATATTACTATTCTATTGTAAAACAAGTATTGTTACTCAACTGCAATAAAATGTTTACAGCTATTTTTCGTTATAATTTTTAACACGCTCCTGGTGTTTACATCAGACAAATATCAATGTTTGTGTAAAGTTTGATGTTGCTGAAAGAATTAAGTCTTGTTTTTAATGTAATGCAATGGACGCAATCACCCTATAATTGCGTTTAATTTGAATTATTTATTAACTGATTACTTTTCATATTTTATCTTCTATAGCAGACACACCCTATTATGTTTTTCCACAAAAAATATTTCTTGTAAAATAAAATCTTGGTTTGAATTTTTTAATAACAAGAGCGTACTAGATTCTTCACCATAGTAGTCATAGGAGGCCAATATAGTTCTAGGTGGCAACTATTAGTACAAATATAAAGTAAAATTGGCTCAACTCTGTAGAGTTGTTGACAGATCAACACACCCCGCCCAAATCTGCAGTTATTACAGCCGCATTCAACAATTCGTACTGTTACTTGGTGTTAGTAGCTGCATGTAATGTTAGAAGCCTTGCCTGAACATCACAAGCGCAGACTCATCATATTTTGTACATTTTAAATAGAATTTATTCGGCAATCTTTTGAGCTGACGTCATCAATTTTTTGGAGGGGATAAATAAATATATTTTGGTTAAAAATATATCATTCTTATCATAACTGCAAACCATCTGCAAGATTTCAAAGCATTCGGTTTTGCAGATTCCAAATTAAATTGCCAAATGTTGTTTCAAAATTTTGATTTTTTTCCAAAAATCTGGACGTTTCGGGTAAAAATTCAATTCGGAGTCATAAACTATTTTATACATTTTAAAACCCATTAACTATGTACAATTTTGAAGTGACGCCATCACATTAGTGGTCGTGATGATTAGACAAATTTTGGTTAGCGTTTTACCATCTACATAATAAGTATTCCTAATATAAATACAGAATTTGACAACAATCGGCCCAATACTTTCGGAGATTATCCGTCTGATAAAAATCCCGGACCGTAGACAGACGGACAGACAGACGGAAACGGGAGACCTATTTCTTCGTCCGCTAGGAGTCATGAAAGGCCGACGGACTCGATTACAATACTTCCGTTGCTTACGCTCGGGAAGTAAAAATCGTCAGAAATGTTTACATTGACTTAAATTAAAAATTGTTAATAAATTTGAGGTGATAAATTAAATGTAGAAGAATGATTGCACAATGTTATATTCTAATAGTACAGAGAATATTTTTTTAAGTATTATGTATTTGCCGCACGAATATTCTGAACACTAAATTTTCTTTTCAAATGTGAACTCCTGTGCTGGAGTTAGATTATTCGGCCACACTTGCACGTAATTTCCAGCTGTATAATTCGCATCTGTTACATCTATGGTGTAATTCTTCTTACCCTCATTAAAAATACGATCGTTCCAAGTCACTCTCCATTGTTGATCAAGACTATCTTCTTTTTCCGCCAGCAAAAGACTACGATCGTGACTTCTATATCCCAACACATTTCTGCAAAAACACTCCAAATTTAAGTTCTGACAATATCTGCCACCTTACCCTGTGTAGTTGCTGATGATATAGAATAAACCAATTTTGAGTCCGCGTTCAAATTTCCACAACTGCGTGCTGTATCCATTAAAATGCTGGACCTGTATTTTCCTAGAATTTCTAGCATCTAGAACTAGACCGGAGAATCCGTGCCTAATAATGTAGACATCATCATCAGTACAAACTCCCGCACAGGCGACCACCATTATTGAAAACAGTGTCAAACCGAAATATGTTCTGTAAGAAATTTTCAAAATTTGTAAACGTATTTATACATGCAGCATGCGTACTGACCTTAGCATGATGACTTGAATTGTCTTCTCGTGACTTAAAATTAATTGTCGGCTGTGACTATTTATAAGCAACCAAAGTTTGCGAAACGCATATTGTTTAAATATGTAATTAAATATGCAATTCAATTACTGTTTGCTTAATAGTTTGTTTAAAATTCCGCAGATAAGGTAATTTTTGAAGCTGTCACGTCGAGTTTAAGATTGTTTACATTTTTTAGTATGACTTAGTAATACAACAAACATTTTTGCGAAATTTATGTACATGCTTTTGTAATGTTGTCCAGAGTGATATATGTATTTAAAACAATACAAAATTATTATGTAGACAACGCACAGTGACGAATTCAAAAATACGTGGCCAAAAGTCAGAATCAACCTGAAGATGTAATATCAAAACTTTAATATACAAAAGTTGTTATAAGAAACATTGAAAACAAAAAAATTATCTCCCTACTATAAAGAAAAATATATATGTGCGGGTATTTAAAGTCGGCGTGGGTAAAACTCAACAAATTATTCTTAAGTACTACTAAACTATACAGCGATTATGTACACAATAATTCCGACTCGAATTCTCTCAGTATTGACTGGACTTGATCGACTGTTCTCGTGGTCTCTATTTAAACCCATACGTACTTTTCTCGATAGTTCACCGTCATCGCTTCGAGCTCATTCTGGAACATCATCGCCGTACATACTAGAAAGCCCTCGAAAAAACCCATAGGCGTCGTAACAACATTATAATAATATTAAATTGTCGAATGTGTGGTAGTATTTTTTATTTATTTATTTTTTGTTTAGACTTTCCTTTTATTTCCTCTCCGCAAGAAACTGCTCTTAAAATCGCAGAAAATCTGTGAATAAAAATTTCCGGTGTTCCCCTTGAAGATGAAACAAGAAACGCAAATACACAGTGTCAGTTACTGTTTGTCAACAGTTTATTTAGATTTCATTGTTTTAAATATAAATAATATTAAACAATAAATAAATTTGGGGAATTTATGTTGGTACACAAAATGTTACATTGTCTTCTGGAGTGATATTTGTTTATTGCAGTTGTAGCAACAGTTTAAATTCCTTTACTTATAATTGTTTAAACTTACGACAGAAAGTTGGTTTGACATTTAAAATAGTTGTTCAGTCGATATGTTTATTGAAATTCATTAGTTTATTTTACAGAAAATATTGCTACATTTTGGTAACGAATAATCAAAAAAGGACGAAATTAACGCACTAATTTTTCTTTTCCAAGAAAAACTGTTGGTTGATTTGTCGGTTGTAAAGTGCATATACTCCCACCGGGTTATTTCTAGTGAAGTTTGCCTTGTAGACATCCATATTCCATCCTTGGCCAATATTTAAAATACCATTATTAAGATTGTACACCCATTGTTGGTATAAACTACCCGTTCGTTCATTCATGAAAAGAAAAAAGTAATTGTTGTTCACTTTTTTTAGGTCGATAACATTTCTAAAAAAACAGAGATTTTATTCTGCTTCAGTATTTAACTGTCTTGTCTACCCTGTGTAGGAACTGACGATATAAAACAAGCTAACATTGCTACCACGTTCGAATTTCCATAGCTGTGGTGCAAAACCATTAAAATGTTGTAATTTGATTAGTGTTGGATCTGTAGCATCCAAAACCAAACCATTATTAGAAGCCGTTCTAATAACGTAAAGCTCATCTTGTCCACAGTCTCCAAGTATTGTAACAACTGTGATGGAGGCCACCAGTATGCTTAAAACTGTAAATCTGAGAAAAATATTAAATTTAACGATATTACTGTGTCAAAAAGATACACACCCCATTATGCTTCTGTTGCACAATTATCTGCACATACTAAAATATAACAATTTTCGAGGCTTTTATCTAGCTACGAAACAGGAAAATAACTGCATTTTGTTTGTTAAATAAAATAAATTTGCGTACACACAATATATTCTTCAAAGTAAGCCATGCCAGTGTGACAGAACAATGTTGGTAAAGAGACTTTTTCAAAATTATGACTTCTCACCTTAGCTTAGCTTAGTGCAGCCACTAAATCTACGTCGCATTAAACGCAATAATTCTGATTAAAATTTAAAAGTGGAAAATTTTCTAGTGTTTTTTTTATAAAAACTTTTCAACATGATTAGTAGAGGTTTCTCGGGTGATGTTATTATTTGTTGAATTTCTAATTTACTGCCAAATAAAAAAAAATGCGTGAGTTGTCCAAACACCAGTATTAACACGTTTCAACAAAGAGAGAGTTCTATTAAATTATTCACTATAATAATAATTAATTAAGACGAATCCATCAACCGAAAAGAAATTTATTTTAACTAGGGTGTAACAAACGCGCTATACCCAGAAATTTAACGACGCTTTCCTTCAAGGACCTCCAGGAACAACGATCCTGGCTGCGTTTTTCCAATTATTTTTTTTTTACAAGCGCTGAAATAGAAAAATCGCCGAATAATAAATTTTTTACGATTTGAAAAATCTTCATCATCGTCAACCGTCAGCATTTCCTGAAAACATTGATCGACTTCGTCGAAGGACCAAACTGCACAAACAGAACTGGCATGAATTAAATCCGAAACGGCAGCACTAAATTTACGATCCGGTTCCATACGTCGAGTGTCGACTTTCCGAGTTCGAAAATAAAAAAATTAAATTGTCTTTAATAAGGGGGTATATTAAATGTTTTTAATAACCGGGACGTTTTTCATAACCAGCGTCTTATGTAACCGCCCCAGCAAGGACGCAATTTGTGCTATTTATTGCCAGTTACGACTTTTTATGTTTCCTTTGACTCATGAAAAGAGGAAGTAATAACTCGGTGTTAACGAAACGATTTCAGCAGTTGGCATAATTATCCAGGTTTGCGAAAAACGCACAAGGAAACGCAAATCAAGCTTTATCAAGTGATCGTTTTATATAAACAACTACGGTCTCAATTAATTAATCGATTCATTCATTGCAGCAAATTTTAATCGTACGTCAGTTTAGCCCGATAAGACGAAAAATCGTTGTCAGAGGTCGCCAACATGCTGATTTAATTGTGCTAAATCGCGATTTTAGGCACAAAAATACCCACCGGAGTTGTATAAATAGTGTCAAGTGCAGCCACAAATCAGTGTTGTTCCATTTGTGAAAACGGTGCTAATTACCATGAATCGGTACGTATTTTTGCCTTTTTGACAACATTAATTTTCAAGATTATATTAATATTCAGATTTTTGTCGTTGTTGGTGCTCCTTCTGGGTGCCACCCTCATCAAGTCCGATGGTGACAGAGAAAACGAACTTTACACCATCAGAGGAGTACCGTCCAACTTGGTACTGGACGCCGGTGCCTCACACCGCGTCACCATGCAGTACTTCTCCGGTTCCAAGTCTCAGCTGTGGAAATTCGTCCGTGGAAGAAGAGCCGGTTTGTACCAGATTGTCAACAACAGCACGGGGTGAGATAATGATGTGTTTCAGAGGGTGTACTAATTCGAGTTTTATGATTGACAGGTCGGTACTTGACTTTGCCCCAAGTAGTTCCACCAATTATCTGGTTACAAACCCCAATGCTGGTACTTTGACTCAGCAGTGGTTCATTCATGCCAACCAACGTATTGTGAATGCCGAAAATTCGATGAATATGGACGTGCAAGGTGCAAGTACTCAGGCGGGAACTCCGGTTATCATCTACAGGGATAATGGGGGTTCGAATCAGGAATTCATTTTGCAGATGAAGCAAGGAGATTATGAGAAGGATTCCGATGAAACTGGTCCGAGCAGCGGCGAAAACCCCGAAAATAGCAGCGAAAATATTAATAAGATTGTTAAAGGCGTAGATCGTAACATGTAAAGTCCTGGAATGTCTCGTTAGAAATAGATTTTGAAGATTATTTAATGTTTTTTTGGTAAATTCCTTAATACTAGCATATTGCATATTGAAGAGTGGTGTATTTTATTTTTAACAAAAAGCGCTTTTATCTTTTTTCGAGATTTCGATCAAATCGAATTTTTCGAAAATTTTGGTCGTGGTCCATCAACATGTTACATTTTTGAATCAGCTTGTTCTAACATGGAGTTTTTGGCCAACTTCTCAAAAAAAAAGGTTTTTTTACTGGTTTTCGGGCACACACCTAAAATTACCTAGACACATTTTCTTGCAGATTTCGAGTTGAAGAAGTTACTTTGAGGAGATTTTTCCAGAATTAATAAAATTAAAAATTTTTTTCGGAAATCTTTCCGGAATGTTTTGACGATTTTTGGACGACTCTTCAAAAATCTCAATTTTTCAATAAATCTTTAAGAACGCGGTTTTAGTTTTTTCGTGGCAAGCAACGAAGTTTAAATATGTGTACAAATTTGAAAATAGTGACCAAATTTTTATGTATTTTTTCTGGAATTGGGAAACTTTAGGAACTGTGTATCAAAAATCTGAAAAAATAAATAATTATCTTTATATCTTGGTTTCAAAGATGTTAAGAAAAACTGATCAACAATTTTCTACAAAAAAAAACAGACGGTCTCATTTGATCTGTTCCATTGGACATTGCCCTTCGAATTATTTAGTAAATAAAATAAAAAAACGTCAATTTTCCAGCTACATATTTTAAAAAATGTATGTTCAAACCAATTTTTTGAAAATCTTGGTCCGAGACCATTCAGACGTTATTTTTTTGTAATTAGCTACTAGAGATCTACGTCCCAGAATTTTTTCAGGATGTTTTGACAACTTTTCAAAAATCTCAATTTTTCATTTTTTTCCTATGAATTTTTTGACGGTTTTTCAAACATCCTTAGAAAATTACCTAGACATTTTCTCGTAGATTTCAGTCTTATAGAAGTTATTTTAGGTTTATTTATTCGAAAATTCAAACACTTTCTATAGAATCGATTAAATGAAAAATGACAATTTTGGAAATTTAAAAAAAAAATGTCATTTTTAAACGGAATTTTTCGAAAATTTTAGTCCGAGACAACTAACACCTTATGTTTTTCGAATCAACTCGTCGAGATATATATTTTAATGATTTTTAGGACACTTCTCGAAAATCTCGATTCTTGAATACCGATATATGAATTTTTTGACCGATTCTCAACCAACTTCCGAAAATTATCTAAAGACATTTCTTGTATATTTGGACTCGTAGAAACTATTTCCGGTTTTATTTCTTCAAAAATTATAACAATTTTTCCAGAATTAATAAAATGAAAAACAATATTCCAGACATTAAAAAATGTTTTGAGAATTTTTAGATAACCTTTCAACTTTGAAAATAGTGAACAAATTTTGATGCAATTGTTTTTTTTAATTGGCAAATTTTAGAACATGCTTAAGAAACTTTGAAAAAATATAAAAATTTCTTCGCAGTTTGTTTTTTTCACGACTTTTCAAAAATCTCAATTTTTAAATTTTTTGGTATGAATTTTTCTCATAGTTTTCGAGCATGTTTAAAAAATCACCTAAATAGATTTTTTTGTAGATTTCAACTTATAGGAGATTTTTTTGAAAATTCCAACATTTTTTCCAGAATCGATGAAATTTTTGAGATATTTGACAAATTCTATTTTCAAACCGAATTTTTCGAAGATTTTAGTACACAGTTTTTTAGAAAATTTAGTTTAACCTTATTTGTTTCGAATCATCTCGTCGAGAAATTTTCCCAGAGTGTTTTGAGAATTTTCAGACAATCTTTAAAAAATCTCAATTTTTTTAATGACTTAACTTTGAAAAATGTGACCAAATTTTGATGCATTTTGTTTTAAATTAACAAATTTTAGAGTTTGTTGTTCGGAGCATTTTTAGACACTTTTTCAAAAATCTCAATTTGTCAATTTTTTCGTATGAATTTTTTGACAAATTTTCAAGCATCCTTAGCAAATTACCTAAAGACATATTTTTGTAGGTTTCAAACTTTAAGAGTTATTTTCGGTTGATTTCTTCCAGAAATCGATAAAATGAAAAAGGGCAATTTTTGAGATATTTTTCAAATTTTACTTTCAAATCGATTTTTCCGAAAATTTTAGTCCGACAAAACTAAAACCTTATTTTTTAATCGTCTCGTCGACATCGATATCCCACAATTTTTTTAGAATTTTTTAGGCAACTTCGAAAATCTCGATTCTTCAATTTCTTGTATATTTCGACTTGTAGAAACTATTTTCGGATTTATTTCTTCAAAAATTGCAACAATTTTTCCAGAATTAATAAAATGAAAAACAACAAGTAGTGTCGAGTTAATTAAAAATTTTGAGATATTTATTAAATTTCACTTTCATACCGAATTTTCCGAAAATTTTAGTCCGAAAAAACTAAAACCTTATTTTTTTCGAATCGGCTCGTCGACATCCATAACCCAAAATTTTTTTAGAATTTTTTAGGTAATTTTGAAAATCTCGATTCTTCAATTTCTTATATATTTCGACTTGTAGAAACTATTTCCGATTTCTTAAAAACTTCAACCATTTTTCCAGAATTAATAAAATGAAAAACAACAATTTTCGAGTTAATTAAAAATGTTTAAACAGTTCCTTTTCAGGCCGATATTTTTTAGAAATCTCCCCAGAATGCTTTGAGAATTTTTAGACAACCTTTCAAAAATCTCAATTTTTTTTTAATTTCTCTTCTTAACAAAACTGTTTTTAATTTTTTTATGGCATGTAAATAATTCCAAAAAAATAGACTTACAACTTTGAAAAACGTCATCAAATTTTGATGCAATCCTTTTTTTGAATTAAGAAATTTTAGAAACTCTTGAAAAATTTTGAAAAAGTAAAAAATTGTATTCACAGTTTGTTGTTTTAAGAATTTTTAGACAACTTTTCAAAAATCTCAATTTTTTTTTTCAAAAATGGTAAATTTTATCCCCCACAATCTCTACAAATTTACCGTTTTTAAGTATAATTTAAGCTTCTTGTCATGAAACGAAAACCACTTACGTATTAAAGGAAAAAGCAAAATACAAACCCCGCCCACCCGCCCTCATTTCAGTTGTGATGACTTTTTTATTCGTCGTGAGCCGAGGGGCGAAGCTTAATTGCAAAAGTGCTTATTTCTCTACAAGAATCTACCATGTGAAACATATTTTTAAGCATTATGTTGTTGAAAGAAAACTATATATGTCAAAAAATAAACAGTCAAAAAATAAACCCCAACCTCAAATGTGATAAATTTTTCATTCGTTGTCAGAGCGTGGGGCGGAGCTTAATTGTAAAATCAATATTTCCCGACAAAAGATTACCATTTGCAGTATGTTTTAAATATCTTGTGAAAATAAAACTACGTACCTATAGAAAAAAGGCTACACTTAAGCCCCGCCCCTCCTGGCTCACGACGAATAAAGAACTATCGTCACAATTGAAATAGGGCGGGTGGGTGGGGCTTATCTTTTAATTTTTTTTTCTTCTTAATACAAATAGTCTTCTCTTCACAACAAGAAGCTGAAAACATGTTTAAAATGGTAAATTTTATCCCCCACAATCTCTACAAATTTACCGTTTTTAAGCATAATTTAAGTTTCTTGTCATGAAACGAAAACCACTTACATATTAAAAGAAAAACCAAAACACAAACCCCGCCCACCCGCCCTCATTTCAGTTGTGATGACTTCTTTATTCGTCGTGAGCCGAAGGGCGGAGCTTATTTGAAAAACTGCTTATTGCTCTAGAAGAATCTACCATGTGAAACATATTTTAAGCATTATGTTGTTGAAAGAAAACTATATATGTCAAAAAATAAACAGTCAAAAAATAAGCCCCATCCTCAAATGTGATAAATTTTTCATTCGTTGTCAGAGCGAGGGGCGGAGCTTAATTGTAAAATCAATATTTCCCGACAAAAGATTACCATTTGCAGTATGTTTTAAATATCTTGTGAAAATAAAATTACGTATCTATAGAAAAAAGGCTACACTTAAGTCCCGTCCCTCGTGGCTCACGACGAATAAAGAACTATCGTCACAATTGAAATAGGGCGGGTGGGTGGGGCTTATCTTTTAATTTTTTTTTCTTCTTAATACAAATAGTCTTCTCTTCACAACAAGAAGCTGAAAACATGTTTAAAATGGTAAATTTTATCCCCCACACTTCTCTACAAATTTATGGTTTTTAAGCATAATTTAAGTTTCTTGTCATGAAACGAAAACTACTTAGGTATTAAAGGAAAAAGCAAAATACAAACCCCGCCCACCCGCCCTTATTTCAGTTGTGATGACTTTTTTATTCATCGTGAGGCGAGGGGCGGGGCTTAATTGCAAAAGTGCTTATTTCTCTAAAAGAATCTACCATGTGAAACATATTTTTAAGTATTATGTTGTTGAAAGAAAACTATAAATGTCAAAAAAAAACAGTTAAAAAATAAGCCCCAACCTCAAATGTGATGAATTTTTCATTCGTTGTCAGAGCGAGGGGCGGAGCTTAATTGTAAAATCAATATTTCGCGACAAAAATTTACCATTTGCAGTATGTTTTAAATATCTTGTGAAAATAAGATTACGTATCAATCGAAAAAAAGGCTAAACTTAAGCCCCGCCCCTCCTGGCCCACGACGAATAAGGAAAAATCGTCACAATTGAAATAGGGTGGGTGGGTGGGGCTTATGTATTCTTTTTTTTTCTTCTTTTTCCCAAAAACTCAATTAACACGGTCCTACCCTGGAAAACGATGCTATTTTTGGCTCGTAAATAACTTTAGATAGGCTTCAAAACTTTGAAAATGGTGATTGACATATTTTTTTTGACTGTGGAGATTTTTTAAAATTTGGTAAAAATTATCTTCATCATCCTTTTTTGTGAAAAAATCTGTGTCACTTTGTTTAATACATGTAAATTTTACGATTTCGGTGCTCATTTTACACACTAAATTAAAAACTAATTTTAGACCTAATGCGACTTCTATTATGAAAACAAAAATATCATCACATCATTAACATGAATTTCAATACAAATCGTATCCGTCGTAAATCTGGGTTTAAATTTAGTATGAAATAGACCCAAACGACTTCGACATCTAAATAACACAATTAAAATTAACAAGACTATAAATATCGGGATTTTAATAGTCCGAAAATTCCATTTTCACTTTGTTTACAGTGCAAACATTTGTAACCATGACGTAGACTCTTAAAAAAAATCGGAACTAATTATTATGAATGAAACATGAATTTGTTATTATTAAGATAACAATTTAAAACATTAATCCAACTTCAGCAAGTTTCGGAAATGCAACATTATAAAAGGTCAGCCGCGATAAAGGGGTCACATGCTGACCACAAAAGTACAAATCTCGTTCTTTCAACATGATTCAAAAAATCCATCAGCAAATTTCTGATATCAAACACTGTAAGGTCAAACACCAACACCGAATTGTAGTTTTTAAATCTCGAACCAACTATAAATACCAACCAGCGTTTAGTGGATTCATTCAAGTGTTTGTCTCCGTAAAGCACAACTGACCAGAATTACCAAAATGGCTTTCAAATGGTACGTACAATTCCATACCCAATCATCTCAATTAACCATAATTGATCAGGGTTGTGGCTCTCCTCTTCGTGGCGGTGTGCGCCAGCACCATCTCCGCCGACGATGAGAAGGACAACCTCCTCTACACCATCAGGAACTCCGCCTCCGGCATGGTCCTCGACGCCGAAGACCCCAAAAGAATCAAAGTGCAGTACCACACCGGCTACAAGACCCAGTTGTTCAGATTCTTGCGTGGTAGGAAACCTGGCCTCTTCCACATCGTCAACAACCAGACAGGGTAAAATTTACGAGCATCCTGTTCACTGTTTAACTATTATCCCTGCAGAGGCGTCCTGGACTTCATCAAGGACGAAGGTAAGTTCCAGGTCGTCCTGACTGACAAAACCGACTCGCTGCATCAACAATGGTACCTCAACGCCGACGGCCGCATCGTCAACGCCCAGAACCAGCAAGTCATCGACGTCCTGGCCTACAACAGCGAGCACTTCCCCGGGAATCGCGTAGGACTGTACCGCACTGTGGGAGCCAGATCGCAGGAATTCGTCTTGCAGCGAAAGGGCGACTACGAGAAGGGCTCATCAGAAGATACCGAATACGAGACCAGCGATTCTCCCGACTCCATCATGAAAATGTAAAATGTAGTTTTGTCCGTTGACAGATGATAAATTTGGAAAATATCTTCAACTATCAATAAATATTAATCGCAAAATACGTTGACATTTTATTTCTGATGTTTCACCCGATTTAAAAAAAACACGAGCCATGTTCAAGCTACCATTAAACCCGGCTTTTATAGCAAATCGATGGTTTTACGTTTAGCAGGAACACTCTTCCAACCACCTGTTGATTCACGTTGCCAATAAATACCCCAACGACTGAAAGTTTAATCCCAGGTTTAATTGTTGTCAGTTGGAGCCAGCGTGTCAGAAGCAAAATTGAGCATAATGCGGACGGTTTGGTCTCGTTCGTTTAAAGTAATTGGATTTTTTGCACTATGTTGGTTCGAGGTTCAGATTTGCAAATTTATTTATGGGTATATTTTCGGTAAAGTGCGGTGTTGGTGTGTCTTTAAAATGTAAACAGGGTTTGGATTATGGCGCTTTATGGTCTGCAAGAATGCGTTGCAGGGAGCTATTGTTAGTGAGATTAAGCGACGTTTCAGAAAAAGGGCGCCGAAATTGGTAGTGGAGCTAATCAGGTTTGGGGTGGCTTGACATTTGGGTGATGAGGGGTGAGGTTTCTTTCAATTATGATTATGGAGCTCATTAAATTTTATTTGTTTGTAAACATTGAGCAAATAAGGGTGGAGACGAGGTTTTTCTTTTGTGGCCTCGTTCGAGTGTGCTTTCAGGATTTTTACTTAAATATATTATCGAAGAGTTAAGATACGACACTTTTGACCGCATTAAGTTTTATTTTAATTAAAAAATGTATAACATTTTTTATTACAAAGCGCTTAGACTTATTTAAGTTTTCCTTAGCACAGTTTCGAAGTTTCGTAACCATGTTCGATTTTGATCTTTTTTTTTTCATTAATGTCGTCATGGGTTGAACCCATTTGAATCATTTTTTTGGAAAAGCTTTTTTTAACTTTTCACGTTAATCTGATTGTGAGAACGAATTTGGATTCGTAGTTAGCGGAAGATTATCTATACTTTGACACTAATTCACAGTTAATTAAACTCATTTTAACTATTTTTTGTAAATATGTAGGAAAGCTTACAGTCATTTTTCAGGTTTATTTAAATTAATGTCGCTTTGACGACTTTGGATTCGTAATTAGCGGATGATTGTCTATGGTTTGACACAAATTCTCAGTCGATTGAACCCATTTTAACCGTTTTTTGGAAAAAATTTTGGAAATCGTAAACTCATTTTTCAGGTTTATTTAGATTGATCTCGCTGTTGCGATTTTGGATTCGTAATTTACGGAAGATTGTCTACAATTTGACATCAATTCTCTGTGGATTAGACCCATTTTAACAATTTTTTGGAAACATTTTGAAAATTTTAAACTCACATTTCATTATTATTAGAATGGATGTCGTAACGGCTATTTTAGATTCGTAATTAGGGGAAAACTATCCACAATTTGACATCAATTCTTAGCCGACTGAACCCATTTTAACTATATTTTTGGAAAAATTTTAAAAACTGTTTGTGAACTCGTTTTTCACGTTTATTTGATTAAATGCAGTGACGGCGATTTCGTGTTCGTGATTAGGGGAAAATTATCCACAATTTAGCATCAATTATCACTGGATTGAACCCATTTTAACTATATTTTAGGAAAAATTTTGGAAATTTTAAATCAATCTTTCACGTTTATTTGAATAGGTGTCTGACGGCGATTTCCTATTCGCAATTAAGCGAAAAACCACTTACAATTTTACACCAATTTCCAGTCGATTGAACCCATTTCAACTATTTTTTTGTAAAAATTTTGAAAATTTTAAACCCACTTTTCACGTTTATTTGAATAGATGTGGTGATGTCGATTTCTGATTCTCATTGAGGGTAAAACTATCTACAATTTGACACCAATTTTCAGTCTACTCAACCCAATTTAACTATATTTTTGGAAAAATTTTGAAAATTTTAAACCCACTTTTCACGATTATTTCAATATAAATCGTGACGGCGTTTTGGGATTCATAATTGGTCAAATATTGCCTACAATTTGAAATCAATTCTCCTTTAATTGGACACGTTTTGACTATATTTTTGTAAAAATTTTCAAAATTTTGAACCCACCTTTCATGTTTATTTGAATAGATGTCGTGACGGAGATTCCGGATTTGTAATTAGGGGAAAAATATTGACAACTTGACACCAATTGTCTATTAAACTCATTTTAATAATTTTTTTGGAAATTTTTTTGAAAAAAACTCACTTTTAACGTTTATTTATATGAATATATGTTGTGACGGCGATTTCGAATTCGTTATTAGGAGAAAACTATCTACAATTTGGCACCAATTCTCAGTCGATTGAACCCATTTTAACTATTTTTTTTGGAATGATTTTGAAAATTTTGAACCCAATTTTCACGTTTATTTGAATAGATGTTTTGACGTCGGTTTCGAATTCTTATCGAAGGGAAAACGATCTACAATTTAACAACAAATTCTCAGTCTATGGAACCCATTTTAATCATTTTCTGAGAAAAATTTTGAAACTTTTAAATCTATTTTTCACGATTATTTAAATTGTTGTCGTGGCGGCGATTTCGGATTCGTAATGAGGGGAAAACGATCTACAATTTGACACCAATTCTCAGTCGATTGAACAAATATTAACCATTCTTTTGGATTTTTTTTGAAAAATTTAAACTCTCTTTTAGCGTTTATTTCATTATATATTTCGACGTCCGTTTCGAAGTCTTATTGAGGCGAAAACTATCTATAAGTTCTCAGTCTATAGAACTCATTTTAACCATTTCCTTGGAAAAATTTCGAAAATTTTAAATCTAATCTTCACGGTTATTTAAATTGGTGTCGATCTACAATTTGACACCAATTCTCAGTTGGTTGGACCCATTTTATCTATATTTTGAAAAAGTTTTGAAAATTTTCAAGATACTTTTCATGTTTATTTGAATAGATGTCCTGACGCCGATTTCGGATTCGTTATTAGAAGAAAACTATGTACAATTTGGCATCAATTCCCAGTACATTGAACCCATATTAACTATTTTTTGGAAATTTTTTGAAAAATTTTAAATCACTTTTAGCGTTTATTTGATGATATGTTTCGACGTCGGTTTCGAATTCTTATTGAGGGGAAAATTATCTACAATTTGACAATAAATTCTCAGTCTATGGAACTTGTTTTAACCATTTCCTTGGAAAAATTTTGAAAATTTTAAATGCACTTTTCACGACTATTTAAATTGGGGTCGTGACGGCGACTTCGGATTCGTAATGAGGGGAAAATAATCTACAATTTGACACCAATTCTCAGTCGATTGAACCATTTTAACTATATTTTTGGAAAAATTTTGAAAATTTTCAAGCCACTTTTCAAGTTTATTTGAATAGATGTTCTGACGCCAATTTCGGATTCGTTATGAGAAGAAAACTATGTACAGTTTGGCATCAATTCTCAGTTAATTGAACCCATATTAACCATTTTTTTGGAAGTTGTTTGAAAAATGTAAACTCACTTGTAGCGTTTTTTTGATTATATATTTTGACGCCGGTTTCGAATTCTTATTGATGGGAAAACGACCTACAATTTGGCACCAATTCAAGTCGACTGAACCCATTTTAACTATGTTTTTTGAAAAATTTTGAAAATTTTAAACCGATCTTACACGTTTATTTGAATGGATGTCGTAAAGGAGATTTCGGATTCGTAATAAGGGAGAAACTACCTGCAATTCGACACCAATTCTCACTTGTTTGAACTTAATTGAACCTTTTTTTGGAAAAATTTTGAAAATTTTCAACACATTTTTTCACGTATATATAAATAGATGTGATGATGGTGATTTCGAATTCGTAATTAGGCGAAAATTATCACCAATGCGTCACCAATGTTCAGTCAATTGGACCCACTCTAATTTTTTTTTAATATTTTGACGGTTTAAACCCAGTTTCTACGTTTATTTGGATAGATGTCGTGATGGTGATTTCGAATACGTAATTAGGGGAAAATATTAACAATTTGACACCAATTCTCAGTCGATTGAACTCATTTCAATAATTTTTTTGAAAAATTTAAACTCACTTTTAACGTTTAATTGAATAGATATCGTGACGGCAATTTGATCCTAATTCTCAATCTATTGAACCCATTTTGACTATATTTTTGTAAAATTTTTGTAAATTTTTAACCCACTTTTGACATTTATTTAAATAGTTTTCATGACGGCGATTTCGGATTCGTTATTCGGGGAAAACTATCTACAATTTGGACCAATTCTCAATAGTTTAAACATTTTTTAACCACTTTTTTTTGAAAAATTTTGAAAATTGTAAACTAACTTTTCACCATTATTTGAATAGCAATCGTGACTACATTTCGGGATTCGTAATTAGTGAAGTATTATCTACAATTTGATACCAATTCTCAGTGTATTGAACCCATTTTTGGAAAAATTTTGAAAATGTTGAACCCACCTTTCGCGTTTATATGAGTAGTTTTCATGACTGTAAGTTCGGATTCGTTATTCGGGGAAAACTATCTAGAATTTGGACCAATTCTCAGCCGTTTAAACCTATTTGAACAGTTTTTTTTGTAAAAATTTTGAAAATTGTAAACTCACTTTTCACGATTCAAAAATCGTGACCGCCTTTCGGGATTCGTAATTAGTGAAATATTATCTACAATTTGATACCAATACTCAGTCGATTGAACGCATTTTAACTACATTTTTCGAAAAATTTTGAAAATTTTAAACCTACCTTTCACGTTTATTTGAATAAGTGTCGTGACTGGAGATTTCAGACTCATAATTCGGGGAAAACTATCCACAATTTGACACCAATTCTCAGTCGATTGAATTCATTTTAACAAATTTTTTTCTTTAATTTTTTGAAAAATTTAATATCACTTTTTACGTTTATTTGACTAGATATTGTGACAGCGATTTTGGATTCCTAATTAGGGAAAAACTATCTACAATTGAACACCAATTCGCAGTCGATTGATTCCATTTTAAGTACATTTTTGGAAAAATTTTGAAAATTTTAAATCTACTTTTTACGCTTATTTGAACAGATGTCGTAACGGCGATTTCGAATTGTAATTAGGGGAAAACTATCTACAATTTGACATTAATTCTCAGTCGGCCGAATTCATATTAACCAATTTTTGTAAAAATTTTGAAAATTTTAAACACACTTTTCACGATTATTTGAATAGGTAGAAGTCGTGACGATGATTTGGGATTCGTAACTGGTGAAATATTTGACACCAATTCGTAGTCGATTGAACCCATTTTAACCACTTTTTTTGGAAAATTTTTGAAAAATTTAAACACACTTTTAACGTTTATTTGATTAGATGTGATGGCGATTTCCAATTCGTAATTATCTACAATTTGACAACAGTCTCAGTCGATTGAACCCATTTTAAGATGGTGATTTTTTAGTATTTCACTATTTTTTAATAAACCAAAAAATATATGAAAGTAAAAAATAGGTGTTAAGTAAAATAAAACAAAATGTTTCAATTTTGGGTGTTGGAAATGACTCTTGCTAAATCAGGAAAATATTTCATAGCAGAAAAATAACGTGAAAATTTTTCACATCGCAATTGCAGACAAATATTTTCATTTGATGTGAGAATTTTAAAACTGAAATTTGGGAAAAAATGCGAAATAAAAAAATAAAAAATTAAAATTTTCGCTTCGATAACAAAGTTGTGAATGAACCACGTTTTGTTATTTTTGCTCATCAATTTTGTTATCGCATTTTTTTAATCGCAGATTAATGCAATTAAAATATTTTTGCATAAATGAATAATATTGATATAGCGTCCACATTTAATTAAGAAGACTCAGCATTGTAATAAATTTAGAAATAAACATTAACACAAGCAGTTTGTGGGTCACTGCAGTTTCCTAATGTTATCAACTGATTTAGTTAGTGTCAAGAAGACGGAGGAAATGACGTCACAACACGTGTTTTAAACAAAAGGTAAAAAATGTAAGCTAATATCTAGACAAAAAAAAGTATACTGATTTTTTTATTTTCTTTCTATTTTATTCTATTAATTAGTTAAATTTCTTATTGATCGTTGAACAAAACTAAATTAAAAAAATATTTAAGGTAATTTTAAAACTTGTTTTTGAAAAATCCGATTCCAAAATTTAAAAATATCTATGTTTCGTATCACTATCATTTCCGTTTGTCCATTCAGCACCCAACATTGTTATCGAGCCAAGCCAACGATAACAATTTCCAAACACACGTTAACCAAATTCAGCAAATTCAGCTGAGGTCAGTCGCGATACCCAAGTTCAATCCTTACAAAAACCAGCAAAACGTCATTTTTCCTCCCAAACCGGGTATAAATAGTGCCGCGAACCTCCACCAACTCAGTCAAGTGTTCGTTCTCCTCCAACGACAACAATGGCATTCCAAAAGTACGTACCACCCCAATTTAGCACTTTCTCAAATCATCCCTCTAGGTTATCTCTGATCCTGCTTCTGGCCTGCGTCAGCCTGATCTCCGCCAGCGCCGTCGACAAAGAAGAGGAGCTCTACATCATCCGAAGCGCCCCTTCAGGTTTGGTACTCGACGCCGACGACCCCATGCAGATCAAAATCCAGCACTACACCGGCCAGAGGTCCCAGCTGTTCAAATTCGTCCGTGGAAGGGTCGCTGGGTTGTTCCACATCGTCAACAACGACACAGGGTAGGAAAAACAAGGGTGGTGGTGGTGTGTTCTTGAGTTTTGTTGCTTCCACAGGAGCGTTCTGGACTTCGCCAAGACCGAAGAGAGATACACCAAGGTGGTACTGGGTGATAAGGAAGACACTTTGCACCAACAGTGGTACCTGAACTCCAACGGACGTATTGCTAATGCTGAAGCCCACTACAACATCGATGTTAAGGATGCTAATTACAAACCAGGAAACCCTGTGGGAATTTGGTACAACAATAACTCTCCAGCTCAGCAGTTCATTTTGCAGAAGCAGTCCAAGAGTTACGGAAAACCTTCCAGTGAAGATCCAGACAACATGAGCTCCCCCCAAAATTAATAATTAAAATGTAATTTTGTTTGATTGGTTTCTAATAAACTTTGAGCATTATTTTGTGTTTTCTCAATCCAGAACTTCCACCAAACCCGTTTTAAATAAAAACCCATTGGCATAAATATGCATCCAACGAACCTCGTCCTCGTGCCGTCTAAATTATGAATAAGCACCGCCATAAATACATTATTAACGAAAATCTCGGATTGTGAAGGTGTATAATTCAAACGGGGCAATAAATCCCCGGAATCACGAAAAATTCGCATAAATTAGCCCGCTCATCACCGTCCAGACGGAGCACACACATCAACTCCCAGGCGAACTTGCTCTTATTAAAATTTATGTAACAAGTTGGTCCGAAACTGCATATGAAACATTTAGCGGAGGGTTTTTTCAGAGGCGGCGTTGTTTTGAATTAAGGGCGCGTACATCATCCCTGAGGTCACTTACTGTCATAAGTTTAATTAGTTTCGGCACGAAGGGAAATTTCGAAACATTCCAGCTGTCTTCCAGACGCCAATTCGGGGATAATTTGTGCGCTTTGAGAGCAATTTCCCTTTGTTATTTACGGTATAAATAGCAGGTTCCGATGAAAACCGAAATAGATCACTTTATGTTGCGAGTACTTGGCTTTATGGCACTTTCGCGAGTTTATGGTGCTGTTTTTTATTGGGGTTTTATGGGGATTGGTGACGCGAAAAGTTTAGGCGAGTGGTGAGGAATTTTTGGGGTTGAAATTCGTTCAGAGTGATCAAGGATACACAAAAGTGACGTGGGTTTATGTGTGAGGAACTACAGGGTAGTTGAAAAGTCCGCTTTTGTATAGATGGTGTTTAACAGACTAACATTAATAAAAGGGTTTTTACACAACATTGATTAAATTTTGTTTATTCATCTCTTCCAGAAAGCTGATGACGTGAAATCCAAAAATTTAGTAAGTAGAGAGTGTCGACGCGCTTTTGTCGTGGTTCAGCAATGCTTTAATTTTTCAGAAATGCTTATGCAGGCTGTTCCAAAAATACTGATATCCGTTCAAACAAAATTGTTATTATCTCTTTAATTTTTACTTAATGGATAATAATGAGCGTAAGCTAACGAAGTATTGTAATCGAAGCCATTGGATGATCGACTACTTTTATGTTTTCTCGACGTTTCATGACCCTTAGAGTACCAAAAATAGGTCCCCGTTTATCTGTCTGTCTGTCTCTGTGTCTGGCGTCTGTCCGTTAAGTTAATATTATTCCAGTTTCATAAAATAAGTAAACTTCCATAAGTGGTTTATAAATCCGTGTTCAGTTTTTGCCCTATATATCCCAATTTTTGAAAAAAAAAAAAAAATTAATCATGGTAAATCGTTAATTCAATTCAATTAAATTCAATAAACATGCAAAATATTAAATAATATTATAATATTTCGAAAAATCTAGAGTTCACTTGATATCACAATTTTTCGTTTTTTGGTTTTCTTTATTTTTTTCTCAACTTCAATTTTTTTTAATTTTTCAATTTCTCGACTACTAAATTTTTCAGTTTTGAAATTTTTCGATTTCGATAATTTTTCATAATTTTATTGTATAGTTTCCCAATTTTTACTTTCTTGATTTTTCAATTGTTCGTTTCCTCAATTTTTGTAGTTCTTGATTTTTTATTTTCATTTACCCAATTTTTTCATTTTTATTGTATCGATTTTATAGCACAATTTTTCGTTTTCCCATTTACTTTATTTTTTCAATTTTCCCGTTTTTTAACGTTTCGGTGTAGTTATTTTTCGTTTTCTCAACTTACATTTTTTTCAATTTTTCAATCTCGGCTTCCAAGTTATTTAATTTTTTGTTTCCTCAATTTTTTCAAGTTTTTCATTTTTCTTGTATTTTTAATTTTTTAATTTTTCAGTTTACCGATTTTATAATTTTCAATTTATTGAGTTTATATCACAATTTTTCGGTTTTCATTTTCTATATTTTTTCAATTTTCCCATTTTTCAATGTTTCGGTGTCGTTATTTTTCGTTTTCTCAACTTCAATTTTTTTCAATTTCTGGGCCTCCAAATTTTTCAATTTTTCGTTTCCTCAATTTTTTCAAGTTCTTGATTTTTATTTTTGGTGTTCCCGATTTTTTCATTTTCATTTTATCGAGTTTATATCACAATTTTTCGTTTTTCCCATTTTCTTAATTTTTTCAATTTTCCTATTTTTCAATGTTTCGGTGTCCTAATTTTTCAATTTTTCAGTTTTTTGATATCGATAATTTTTAATCTTTTGATTTTTCTGTTTCTCAATTTTTCAGGTTATTAATTTTTATTTTTTATTTTCCCATTTTTTTTTAATTTTTCACTTTTCCCATTTTTCATTGTTGCGGTGTCGTGATTTTTCGTTTAATCAACATAAATTTTTTTCAATTTTTCAATTTCTCGGCTTTCAAATTTTTCAAATTTTCGTTTTCTCAATTTTTCAAGTACTTGATTTTTATTTTTCGTTTTCTCGATTTTTTAATTTTCAGTTTTTTAAAGAAAGCTCAATTACTTGACTTTCAAATTTCTCAAATTTTCAATTTTTCGACATACTTTACGACAATTTTTAATTTTTTTTATATTTTAGTTTCCGGATTTTTTCTTTTTCTATTTTTCAATTGTTCGTTTCCCCAATTTTTCAAGTTCTTGATTTTTGTGTTTTATTTTCCAAATTGTTTCATTTTCATTTTATCGAGTTTGTATCACAATTTTTCGTATTTCCATTTTCTTTATTCTTTGAATTTTCCCATTTTTCAATGTTTCGATGTCGTAATTTTTCGTTTTCTTAACTTCAATTTTTTTTTCAATTTTTCTATTCTCGACATCCACATTTTTCAATTTTGCCATTTTCCAGTAGCGATAATTTTTCATTTTTGATTTTTCGTTTTCTCAGTTTTTCAAGTTTTTTTATTTTTCATTTTTTTAATTGCCATTTTATCGAGTTTATCTCACCATTTTTCGTTTTTTCATTTTCTATACTTTTTCTCAATTTTTTTTAAATTCCTCAATTTCTCGACTTCCAAATTTTTCAATTTCGCAATTTTTCGATTTCGATAATTTTTCATATTTTTATTTTTTGGTTTATCAATTTTTAATTTTAATTTTTCAATTTTTCGTTTCCTCAATTTTTGTAGTTCTTGATTTTTTATTTTCATTTACCCAATTTTTTCATTTTTATTGTATCGAGTTTATAGCACACTTTTTCGTTTTCCCGTTTACTTTATTTTTTCAATTTTCCCGTTTTTTAACGTTTCGGTGTCGTTATTTTTCGTTTTCTCAACTTACATTTTTTTCAAATTTTCAATTTCTCGGCTTCCAAGTTTTTAAATTTTTTGCTTCCTCAATTTTTTCAAGTTCTTGATTTTTCTTGTATTTTAAATTTTTTGATATCGATAATTTTTAATTTTTTCATTTTTCAGTTTACCGATTTTATAATTTTCAATTTATTGAGTTTATATCACAATTTTTCGGTTTTCATTTTCTATATTTTTTCAATTTTCCCATTTTTCAATGTTTCGGTGTCGTTATTTTTCGTTTTCTCAACTTCAATTTTTTTCAATTTCTCGGCCTCCAAATTTTTCAATTTTTCGTTTCCTCAATTTTTTCAAGTTCTTGATTTTTATTTTTCGTTTTCCCGATTTTTTCATTTTCATTTTATCGAGTTTATATCACAATTTTTCGTTTTTCCATTTTCTTTATTTTTTCAATTTTCCTATTTTTCAATGTTTCGACTTCCAAATTTTTCCGTTTTTTGATATCGATAATTTTTAATCTTTTGATTTTTCTGTTTCTCAATTTTTCAGGTTATTAATTTTTATGTTTTATTTTCCCATTTTTTTTTAATTTTTCAATTTTCCCATTTTTCATTATTGCGGTGTCGTAATTATTTAGTTTAATCAACATAAATTTTTTTCAATTTTTCAATTTCTTGGCTTTCAAATTTTTCAAATTTTCGTTTTCTCAATTTTTCAAGTACTTGATTTTTATTTTTCGTTTTCTCGGTTTTTTAGTTTTCAGCTTTTTAACGAAAGCTCAATTTCTTAACTTTCAAATTTCTCAATTTTTCAATTTTTCGACATTCTTAGATAATTTTTAATTTTTTTTATATTTTTGTTTCTGAATTTTTACTTTTTTGATTTTTCAATTGTTCGTTTCGTCAATTTTTCAAGTTCTTGATTTTTGTGTTTCAAATTGTTTCATTTTCATTTTATCGAGTTTGTATCACAGAGTTTCGTATTTCCATTTTCTTTATTCTTTGAATTTTCCCATTTTTTAATGTTTCGATTTTGCCATTTTCCGGTAGCGATAATTTTTCATTTTTTTTTTTTCGTTTTTTCAATTTTTCAAGTTTTTCTATTTTTCATTTTCCCGATTTTTTAATTGTTATTTTATCGAGTTTATCTCACTATTTTTCGTTTTTTCATTTTCTTTATTTTTTCTCATTTTTTTTTTAAATTTCTCAATTTCTCGACTTCCAAAATTTTCAATTTCGCAATTTTTCGATAAAGATAATTTTTCACTTTTTGATTCTTCAGTTTCTCAATTTTTACGTTTTCTTAATTTTTCAAGTTCTTCATTTTCATTTTTCATTTTCCCGATTTTTTAATTTTCATTTTATCGAGTTTGTCACAATTTTTCGTTTTTTCATTTTCTTTATTTTTTTACAACTTCAACTTTTTTAAAATTTTTCAGTTTTGCAATTCTTCGATATCGATAATTTTTCATTTTTCAATTTTTCGTTTCATCAATTTTTCAAGTTCTTGATTTTTATTTTTCAATTTTGCAATTTTTTCATTTTCATTTTATCGAGTTTATACCACAATTTTTTGTTTTTCCATTTTCTTGATTTTTTTCAATTTTCCCATGTTTCAATGTTTCGGTTCGAAATTCTTCATTTTCTCAACTCCAGTTTTTTTAATTTTTCAATTTCTCGACTTCCAAATTTTTCAATTTTGCAATTTTTCGATGTCGATAATTTTTCATTTTTTAATTTTTCAATTTCCCAATTTTTTTTTACTTTTTCGATTTTTCAATTTTTCGTTTCCTC